AAAAATAACTCAATTTAGAACACAAATTAAACATAAATTATGAAAAATAATTTACCAAAATCTAAGAGATTGTGGATTAAACACCCCTATCTCAATTTAAGCCAAAAGCCCCAATTTTCACCTCAAACCCTCAAAATGGGTCTCAATTTTCGAACTTCCTAGAGTGGTCAAAAGCTGAAATTGCTGGTATGGATTGGAAGATCTCGTTGTGAGCTTCATTTTGTCGCAAACGGCACTCAAAAATTCCAAAGAATGAAGGAGAAATCAAGATTCAAAATTTGAAGCAAAAGAAAAAAATATATATAAGGATAAGGAGAGAGAACGTAACAGGAGAAATTGAGATCTGCAGATGACTTAAGAGTCATTTAAATGATAAAAGGAAGGTGGGTCCCACAACTTTATATATAAATATCTTTAACTTATATATATATATATATATAAAGGTACATACACACAATATAATGACAAAAAGTCCTTTGACGGAACAAATCTCACCACACAAATATCTCTCTTTACATTCATCAAGTGTAAAAACCCAATGTCAAAGAAAATATGCTAAAGTCTCGTGGGCCCCGCACCATCATATCTTTCTAATTCTCTTTACTTTTTTGATAGCAGGTGCATCATTCTACACCATTAGACATAATATGTATACATATATTTCATCTATATATATATATATATATAGACATGAAACAAAAACAACCAAACTTATCATAAAATCAAGTGGGACCCGCTATCACATTACCATTACAATCTATCTTTCTCTCTATAATTTCGCCTGGTGCATCTCCCTCCTCTGATACAATATATATATATAAATATATATATATATATATATATACACATACCCAATGCACCAAGCCAATAACCCATTAAAATCTCCGGTTGGCCCTATGAAAACATTATCACATATATATCTTATTTTCTTTCCTCATTTTCGGCTCCTGCAAACTGATACACCCTATATATAAATGTAACCATATCAAATCCAATCCTATTAAATGTCTTAATTGAGTAAATCTCCAACTATAATCAAATAATTAATTATAACAACCAAACTAATAATAATAATAATAAAAAAATAAACTAAAAACCTAAAAATCTGAGTGGTCACAATTACTTTGCAAGATTGATTGCAAGCATGGAGTTTTCGGTGACACATAGAACGATCACGAGAAATTTCGCAACACCCGTTAACAGAGTAACCCAGCCATCTCACGTTCTTGAGGGTTGAAACCCACTTTGCCATGTTTCAGAAAGAGCTCAAATTAAGAAAAGGAAACATTCAAGAACAAGCAAACAGATTTGGTAGACCCAATAATTGGGTTTTAAATAAAGAGAGTAATGGGTATGCGACAAAGAGAAAAATCAAAGAGATTTGAATCTCTTCTTCAATCTTTTCGACTCCATTTTATCTAAAGTCTTGACGCTCTATTTCTGTTCCATCTTCCATGAGCTTTGAGCAATTTTTGCAGTAATCTGAACAATAATCATACGATTTTAGTTCTTCAATTATTATTAGGAGAGTAAATTAGATGAACTTACCCTATAGTTTGCCATAATTATAAATTCTCTTATGATTTGAGAATTTATTCAAAGCACACTTAAAAATGAAATTATCGATCACCCTTATTAGTGGCGGACTGTCAAAAGGATTAATAAACTTGTCTAATTTACAAAAATACCCCCAAACTACTATACAAATAACTGAACTACCCATATGATTATATATATATATATATATATATAACCATCTGAAATCCATCACTTTGTTAGTCTAGCTTTGAGCCTGAATGGGAACCTGTTGGTTGGGGCATGCTCACTGCACCTTGATACCCCGCACTGGTACTGGTCTAATTGTTTCTTCGATTGGTCTCGTCGCCAACTAGGTACCCCTCAAGATTTGAATTCTTTCTCAATTCTTGTGATTTTGCTCTGAATGAGGTCACAGTTGGAGAAATCTTAACCATTCTCAAGCAAGACAATTGGAAATTACTCATAGATTCAACAAACCTGCCCAGCAAGCTAAACCCAGATGTGGTTCGATCCGTTCTTCACCCAGCACAATTGGAAAATTGACTCAGCTCCAAGTCCTCAGCCTTTATGCTAACCGCCTTTCCCGTCAGATCCCCTCTGATTTCACCAATCTAAAGCTTCTCTAGCAACAATTTCACCAACACAATACCATTCGCCGTAAACAATCTGACCAATCTCCTCTTTGGCAACAAGCGCTTCTCACCGGTTCTCTGTAACACAGTCTGCGAGCTCATCGGTAGTAAGGAATTTGACGCTGATGCCTGCAGGCAACTCCCTCCTGGCTTTCGTTGAGTACATCGTCACCACCACAATAAAGATCTCATCCGCAGTGATTGTTGCAATTTATGTTGGCGGAGCACTTCTCCACTTTATGTTCCTAATTCTCATCATATATGCAACAGTGGCTGAGGTGGGCACGTGCCTCTCCATCACCTTCGTTGCTTACTCTCTCTCTAAAGCGGAGGCTTGAATTGTTGAATTGTTTCTGTGTAACGAAGGAAAAGAATGATGTAGCAGATGAAGAAGAAAGAAGAGAGAGAAAAGGTACCAACAGTTAGCCCATAATATCCTTATCCCTACCGTATTATATATATAGCCCATAATAGCTTTATCCCTACCATATTATATATATATATATATATATATATAGGGATGAGGGTATTATGGGTATTTTATTTAATTTAGTACATGTTATGTTGACTCTAATAAAAAAAGAGGTCTAGGTAGGAAAGTTTCATTTTTAAGAGAGGTTTAAGTAAATTCCCAAATCATAGGGAAAGTTTATGGCAAATCATAAGGGAGAGGTCCATGTAATTTACGATTATTATTAATTTTTTTTCTGAAAAAATTGAGGTTTAGTTAAGGTGGTACTGGTAGAACGCGCCGGGGCACGATAGATGCTTATGCCTGTGTACAGTCCCAATCCAAGTCCTAATGAATAGAATTAAATGGCTGACCAAGGAGAGAAAAAACACATAAATTATTTTTTAAAATTTTTATATACTAAGGGTAATTTAGACATTTTATTGTTCAATTATCTGATTTGTCCTTATTTGTACAAATTAAGAAATATATGCATTGGAATTTATCAAACAATAAAGGAGTAATTGCACATTTTGTACATAGTGAAGGGATTTTTTTTGTATTTTAACCCTTTATGTTTTAAAAATGTTAGAAGGATAAATTGATACTCATAAAAAATAAGAGGCCCAAGTAAATAACTAAAGAAATAAATCGTGATAAGTCGATGGTTGAAAAATGTGAAGACACGTGTGTTGAGTCCTCACCGACTGTGTGGCTAGTGAAGACACATGTTGAGTTCTCACCGACTGTGTGGATAGTACCCCTCACAAATGTCCCACTCATATGCAATGGTGACAATTGGGTGGGTTTGGGTGGGTTTGGAATGGATTTAGTATGAATGGATCAGTATCCCATTCTCAAGGCGAGTCAAAACGAGTTAATCCATTCTAACCCTTTTGCTTTTTTTTACCATCCAGGGCTAAAAAAAAAAAAAATTAGTAGTTTGTTCTTACATTAATTTTTTTGATTTCAAGCATTATAATTTTTTTTTCCCTTTATTCTTTTGAGAAAAGTCACTATACAACTTAATCAACAATATTAATTAATTTTTTGATTTCAAGAGTTACAATTTTTATTTATTTATATTTATTTTGGAAAAAATCACTATACAACCTACTCAACAATATTAATTACATATATTTTTAAAAAGAAATTTTGAACAAGAGTTTTAATTAATTGTGGTCATTTATTTTATACAATAAAATAAAATTTGAAGGAAGAGTAGATAGAGAGAGGGTTATAACAGAAGAAAGAAAAAGAAAAAAAACAAAAGAACCGACTAGGAGAGAGAACGCAAGAAAAAAGAACCAACGATAGAGAATGATTAAAAATGGAATTTATTAAGTTCTCATATTGATGGCTTCATTCATCTTATTTGACTTCTTCCCTTAATTTTGTTTCTTTGAAATTTTCCAAGAAATTAAGTTGTAGATAGACACGTTTTGAAAGGCAGGACCTTTGAAGTAGAGAAGTATGAGAAAAAAATATTAGGACGGTTAGAGTCTTGCGTGACTTAGGCCCCATTCAATAGAAAAGTACTAAAATTTTAATTTTTTTTATTTTATATTAAGTTATATTATAATTATTAGCAACTCTGATAAATATAAATTTTTTATATTACGCCTCAAAGATTTATATCGTAAAATAATAATAATAATTTTTTTTTGTCTCTCCTCCGTTATTTTATATTATGCCTCAAATATTTATATCCTAAAATAACTTCATTTTTTTTTTTTTTTTTTCCTCTCTCTCTCTCCTCATTCATTCCAATTTATTAAGCCTCAAATATTTATATCCTAAAATAATTTTTCTTTTTTCTCTATCTGTTGAACATAAATTTAATATTAGGCTCCAAATATTTACATTCTTATATGACTTTTTTTCCTTCTCTTTTTGTTCTTTCATTTACATTTTACAACCAATATAGAAATTTAATATTGGGCCCAAAAATTTGTATCAATAAATAAATTTTTTTCCTTCTTTCTTTCTCTCATTCATGTTTTTTACACTAGCACTAGAAACATTTTTGAGTAAGTTATACCAATAGTAAAATATTAAATGTCTATTTAACGTCTTTGTTTGGAAAAATGGCAAAAACTTTCCATATTCTTTTTTTATGTTTTATCTTTTTCTTTTAAACAATTTTTTCCTCCACCTCTCATTACAAGTTTACAGTTTTATTCTATTGAAAAATTTGTAAAAGTATTAGATTTGGATTTTCTAAACCAGATTTAATGGTTCTTTTTCTTTAATTATTTTTAAATTTTATTAACTTTTGTTATTATAAATTTGTGTGTATATATATATATTTGTTATTTTGTTTTTGAGTTTTGACTGATTTTATTTATATTATTTTTCGCTTAAGGCTCCAAATTAGATTAAGCCACCCATAGAATAATAGACACGTTTTTTAAAATCTAATAACCTATACCGTTCAAGATGGAGTAAACTTGTCCTTAAAACAATATAAGAAGTAACTTTTGAGAAAATTGTTGTTGAATTCCGAGGCACTGTAGTTTACAATTCTAACTTTGATTGAGTGGGTCTCTGTCAATGCCTGTTATTTGTGGATGTTAAATTTTTGTGACTACAATTTTCCACCCTTTCTTGTACTCCATGTCGACATTGGAAAAAATGGTCTACCATTTCTTGTACTCCATATAGAAGGTTGAATTACTGTTGATGCATGGAAGTGTCCTTACTCCTTACGCAACAAATAAGAAGACATCACCACCTTCCGTCTTCATCAACAAGAAGCACTCAAACAGGGTTATCGGACTCGCAATGGTATGTACAAGATTGATGACTCTTCTTCTCATATTTTATTGTTCTTGTACCATAGAATTTTCCACTGCCATAGACACAATTACATCAACTCAACTCATCAATGACCCTGAAGCTATAGTCTCCAATGGTACTGCCACCTTCAAACTGGGATTTTTTAGCCCAGTTAATTCTACTAACCGGTATGTTGGTATATGGTACAACCACATCTCTGCCAAGGCTGTGGTATGGGTTGCCAATAGAGAGAAACCTCTGAATGACTCTTCCGGTACACTGACAATATCCGAGGATGGCAATTTTGTGGTCTTGGATGGACAGAAACAGATTGTTTGGTCATCAGATGTTCCAAATTCTTCGGCGAATTCAAGTGCTCTCCTTTTAGATTCTAGGAACCTTATCCTACAAGATGACTCGAATGGAAATATTATATGGGAGAGTTTTGAACACCCTTCTGATTCTTTCTTGGAAGGGATGAAAATTAGTACCAAAAAGTTCACAGATAAGAAGACTCAGCTGACCTCATGGAAAAGCCCTTCAGATCCATCCAATGGAAGGTTCACTTTGGGCATCAATGCTCAGAATATTCTAGAAGTGTATATATGGAATGGTAGTCATCCATACTGGAGGGCCGGTCCATGGAATGGGCAGGTTTTTATTGGCATACCTGAAATGATTTCGTTGTACATTAGCAGATATGATGTTGTAGAGGATAAAGAAGGTAACGTATACATAAGTTATTCTTATGCAAAAGAGTCTCCACTGTTATATATGACCTTAAGTTCCGATGGATATCTAATAGAGAAGAACAAGAGTTGGGAAAATCTGTGGTGGGCTCCAGATACTGAATGTGATGTTTATGGCAAGTGTGGTCCATTTGGGAGCTGCAATGTGCATGGCTCGCCAATTTGCACCTGTTTACGTGGGTTTGATCCAAAGGATATGGAGGAATGGAGTAGAGGAAATTGGAGCAGTGGATGTGAAAGGAGGAGACAATTGCAGCGTGAGAGAAACAATAGTGATGGTGGTGAAATGGGCAAAGATGATGGGTTTTTGAAGCTAAAGACGGTGAAAGTGCCCGCCTTTGCTGAGTTGTCACTTGCTGCTCAAGATAACTGCGAAAGCCAGTGCTTGAAGAATTGTTCATGTATAGCTTATACATATTGTAGTGGCATTGGTTGTATGCAGTGGAGTGGAGACTTAATTGACATACAGGAATTTTCCTATGGAGGATCAGATCTTTACATTCGCGTTGCATATTCAGAGCTTGGTAAGTTTTTTTCTTCATCCATTTTTCAAAAAATAATAATAGCAATAATATTTGCTTCTAATAATCCTCTTTTGCTTATTCTGCTAGTTTTATTTGATAAGCAAATATCATTTGAATTTTAACCATTGCAAATAAGGGTGAAGAAAAGACCCGGCCCAGCCTTATAAGATGGTGGGACCGGTCTGGGTATAGGTCTTGCCCCGTGGCCGGCCCGTAAACCTGCCCACCGGGAGCCATAGCCCAGCCCGTTGCAAGCCCGCAGCCCGTCATCCCAAACCCAAGGGCTGGGCTTGGATTTGTAAAATGCATTTAGGTCTGGTCCGGCCCGTTGAAAAGTTAAGGCCCGTGGGCTCGGGCATGGGCTCCCAAAACTGTGGGCAGGCCCCTTATACACCCTTAATTGTATTCTAAACATGTTAGCCCACCTTACATTTATACACTAGTTTAGAAATACATTAGTCTATTTTAATAGCAAAAGTATAATACCTTTTCCCATTTGCCCACAGGAAAAGAGTGCCGTGGAAGTTGTCTAAATTCTCAATTTTTAATTCATATATCAACTTAAAGTACTCTCTCAAAGTTTGTTGTGTTCTACAGAAAAAGAGAGGAGCACAAAAGTAGTTATCACAATTGCGGTGCTCATAGGGTCATTAACAATTGCAATCTGTATCTATCTTTCTTGGAGGTGGATGGCTAGACCACCAGGTATATGGCCTTTCAAATAGCTCAAGAGATTAGCACATATTGCTTTTATTATATTTATTGCATATTACTAAATTTTGAATCAGGAAGGAAGAATAAGTTGGAGAAGTTATTATTTAAAAGAGGTGGAGTGAATCTAGATTGTTCAAATGAAAGCATTCTTGGAAAGAATCTGAATCGAATTGATCTTGAAGAGCTACCTCTTTTCAGTTTTCAGAAACTAGCAATTGCAACAGACAATTTTGATGTGGCCAATAAGCTCGGGCAAGGTGGTTTTGGTCCAGTGTACAAGGTAATGCTTGTTAAGGAGCTCTAAGCTAAACAAAAATAAAATAAATTAATTAATTTCATCTTTAATTTCAGGGAAAATTGTCAAGCGGACAAGATATAGCTGTCAAACGGCTTTCAAAATTCTCTGGACAAGGGCTGGAGGAGTTTATGAATGAGGTTTTGGCAATTTCCCAACTCCAACATCGCAATCTTGTTAGACTTCTTGGCTGCTGTGAGGAAGGAGAAGAAAAGATGTTAATCCACGAATACATGCCAAATAAAAGCTTGGATGGATTTCTCTTTGGTTAGTTATCGATCATGATAAAGCTCTTTATATAATTTTTAGTTATTTCAATTTCATTACCTTAACATAAGGCCTTTTTCTTTTGTAGTGTTTGTGAACATACTGATCTAAGAAAAATATAAATTCTGTCTCAACATCAATTTAGTTCTACACACAATTTTAACCTACTTGTTTTTTCTTTTCTTCAATCTCGTTTCAGATCCAATCAAGCAAAAACTCCTAGATTGGAGAAAACGCAGCAACATTATTGAAGGGATTGCTCAAGGACTACTTTACCTTCACAGAGATTCCAGATTAAAGATTATCCATAGAGATTTAAAGACAAGTAATGTTCTGTTGGATGTAAATCTAAATCCAAAAATTTCAGATTTCGGCATAGCAAAGATTTTTGGAGACAACCAGGACCAAGCAAACACTAGAAGGGTTGTTGGAACATAGTAAGTAGCCTTTGCTTTGTCTAAAATGATTGATCATTCAGGTTATAATCATTATTTCTCATGGGATAGTTCCAACTCAAATATTTTCACTATTTGAGTTTTAATGACATAATGCAGCGGTTATATGGCCCCTGAATATGCAATGCGAGGAAGATTCTCAGAAAAATCTGATGTCTTTAGCTTTGGAGTATTGTTGTTAGAGATTGTAAGTGGGCAAAAGAACTCTAACTTTTATCATGATAAGCACTCTTTAAGCCTTCTAGGATTTGTAAGTTCACTTGAACTATTGCCTCAATTACTCCATATAGTTCCTTTTAATTTTTCTAATTTCAACATTTCATGGTTGTGTTATTATGTTCAGGCGTGGAAGTTGTGGAATGAGAATAGGATTGAAATGCTAATAGATCCAACAATTTCTGATCCATGCTTTTATGTAGAGATCTTGAGACACATACATGTAGGACTGTTGTGTGTGCAAGATCTTGCTACTGATAGGCCAACTATGTCTACTGTTCTTTTCATGCTTAGTAGTGAAATTGCAAATCTTCCAACTCCAAAACAACCTGCATTTACCGAAATGCTAGGACTCTCAAATAAACGATCTTCTCAACAAACCCGAAGGAAGTTTTCTGTAAACAATGTAACACTCACAACCATTGACGGCCGTTAGCACACAAATTCTTGTGATTTTTTCTCTTATATTGAATATAAAGATCAAATATAGTTTTGTTCAACATAATTATGTTTTCATCAACTCTATTCAAAACTCAGTGTTAGCCTTTATCCTTCCACATTGTTTCTCTTGGGAGAATCCCGTTTTTATTATTCGGCCAAGCCTTCTATTCTTTGTTTATAATTTGCTAACTTTTACAAATTAATTAGGCAAAGCAACCACTTTGGAAATAGTCTATGTGTTTGATTAGAAAACATGAGGAAAGAACTTTAGATGAAGCAGCAGCTCTGCAATAACTAAGCTAACAAAGTTTCAGTCCAAAGGCAACAACTTTAACTAATCATCCATCAGGCACAAATGCTACTTTCATGATACATATAAAAGATTTACGTGTTAATTTGTGTCTGATAACTAGAACATGAATAGAAGTTACCATCTTGAATTGTGGTCACAACCATCAGCAAAGGGAGTTGTCAGCACCATCACCGTGGCCCTTGCCACTACTACCAATACACACACACACACATATATATCAGCCTATCATTTTTAAATTTGAATTTTGATACTCTAAACTGTAATTTTAAATTCTATTATAACCAGAATCATGCCCTAAGGCAGAGGGGGTTAATTAATGAAGGTTTCTAAAAATGATAAATTTGCAAAATGTTGTTTGTTTTAAGACTTCATTCAAAGGAAAAAAAATTTAAATTTTCCCTAAATATTGTAGCACACAGATTCCTAAAAAGTCATGGTTTAGGTTTATACCCTCAATATTAGCCACTGGAAAGGTGACATGTGGCGAGTTCCATAAGACTTGCCATACTGGATTAATGTCCCACAATTTCCTAATGATCTGGGAAATAAAGATTCATGGAAATATTACTATATATGCAACCTTACTCAATTATTCAAGGCAAGACTCGCGTAATTATTCATCTAATGCCACATGGAGTCTATTAGATAATGGTGTTTTTAAACCAGTAAGAGAATAGCACATGGCAAGTTTCATGGAACTTACCATGGTGTATCAATCCTTTTGAGAAATAGGATTATAGAAGGAAGGCTTTAGGACAACACTACGTGTTTTCAAAATCCTTAAGGGAATGGAGACTTACCAAAATGGCAAGACTAATTTAACCAAGCAAAGAAGGGGGAGAACATGGTGCTAAATCCTCACAACGCAACAGAAAGCAAAACCAGGATAACTACAGAGTACATCTCTGAGTATCCCTCACAACGCGCTACACCCGCGACCTCGAATCTGAAAGGAACACACAAACCATTGTCAATTGCACCCGCGTGCTCTTGACAAGACACACGACAAGTCTGAACTCACACAGAGAACCCAAGGTCAGACAAAAGAACTGAAAACAGCAACCGTAAGCATCCCTCCTGACCAACCATCATAAGGAACCAAAAATAACCACCAAAAGAACTCCAAGATAACTACATATCGAATCAGGGTACAGAACAAACACAACGTGGCAGTACGAATAGTGACCAAAACCCGCCCACGATGTACTCAAATGTGTGGTAGCAATGACAGTACCTAGTGCCCGCCCACACTTACTCGTTAGTAAGGTAGCATCGATGGCAACTAGTACTCGCCCACAACACACAACTTTGTACGGTAACATGACAGTATAAGACACTAGTTCATAACCTGCCCCCCACTAGGTCTACTCATAAAACCTCTCGATACTAATGACATCAATGTCAAAAATGATCATTACCAAAAGCACTACGGGGACCAACATTTTGTGAGAGTTGATATATGGTCCAAAGATGTCCGGCCGGACCATCCTGGCCAATCCCAAAACTCTGGCAACAATGCTATAGGTACCGCTATGCTTAAGGCCCCAAATCCTTAATACAGTAAAACCAACATCTCCAATGTCTCAAAATACCCCTATTAACAACATTAATCAAGAATCTAAAACCTGAAAAGCAAATCAACGTCTACAGAAATCAAAACAAACTTCACAATAAGACATTTCATCGAAAGTCCTTCACATTACTCCCTGAAACAGATCAACTACAAGACCAAACACCATAATCAAACATCAGATCCACATCCCTATCACGGATAACTAAATCCTCAAAATACAAGTCTACCAAGTGGCACGCACATCAAAATGCCAACAACCAAGGTCATAAAATGAATCTCTCAAAACCATACTTGGAAACACCAAGGTAAATTAAAATTCCTCAATTTTTGAAACACAACCAATCATCAAAACTACGATTCTTCAAAACTATGCCTAGTCATAACTAGGATGAGAAACTCCACAACAAGCCATATCCAACAGCAATCCTCCAAAACTTTTCCTAAAAGTTAACCACATCCAGGTCTCCAAAACGGAAACAAGTCTCCAAAAGACATTCTCAAAAGAGCATCGAGCTCAACTCACAATCAAACAAATCCTCAATGATATGGACACAAGTCCCCATAAAATGATCTCACACCAATCAACTCACTCTGAGCATTACAACTCTGTCAACAACTACGGCAGAAACTCCCCAAGAGAAGACACGAAAGAAAGGGAACCACCAGTACTAAAAAGGACAACTCCACAACTCCATCTCTGAAATGAAAGAGAACAAGGTCAAAGACTTCACCCCCTAAATGGAAGTAAGCTGACCAAAATACATCAAATCCTTACCAAGGACTCAAGACAACGATAGTGATCCTCACAGACCAACCAACCCCAAAACTATGCACAATGCAACGAAGAGAAGAGACTCACTCCTTGTGAAGTCCCTTACACGAACCAAACACGAAACCATTGTGGAAACCCGCATACACGCTACGTGCGACCAAGGGAAACGAATGGGAAAACCAAACCTGGAAGTCATGCATATGACAAGGAATGCAACTACTAGAAAGAAAATCTACTCACATAGATAAAAATCAAAGGTACATGCAACACGTCTCCACATAAGCACAAAATTATGTCATTAAAACATAGTAACAACATGGCATCTCTAAGCATATAAAGAAGGCATGCTAATGCCACACAACAAGAAGGCAAATGTGGATACACCTCTACCTACCCATGTATCACAATATCATAAATCATACTACTAACATGGTAGTAAACGAAACTGCATAAGACAAAATGATGCAACAATGAACCCTATAGACATTGTGTCCTAGAGTGTCTAGAAAAGAAAGGACAATTCCTAGTCATAAACTGTCTTCAAAACTAATGCGACAACAACCTGTCTCAAAGCAAACGTGAGCCCTTACCACAACGGTAAGACTCTAACAATCCATCTCAGAATCTAGAGGTAACACTACAAGTGACACTAACAGTGCAGTGCTCTCACTATCCGTAACATCAATCAATCGACTTGATCCCAAAAGCGTCATCACGTAAAAACTCCTCAAGGAAAATGGCAACTACAGCCATACCAATAACAATTAAATTAATCACCACGACTGATCGCCAAAACAACCATCATCATCACCAATCAAAGGACAACGCCTATCAAAACAAAACCAACATTGATTCCACCCAAACTGCGCTTGTAGCTAGCAAGTACGGTAGCATGACAGTGTCATGCACCCGCCCACAAACGTACCCGCCCACGAAAATTGCAATCCCAGAGGAATCATTCTGATCAACCAAGGATCCTAAGAGGTCCATAACCTCATTATGGCTCAAAACCAATAAATCCACCACTATGGTAACACCAAATGACTCATCTCACAAGAGCCTAAATAAAAGGTGACCATCCACCTACCTCAAAACCAATAGTAGGTCGACAACAACCTATACTACCACGAAACTGTGACTACAATCACCATCAACCTCAACTCGTGCCTCAATGACCAATCCCGTGTCATACCAAATATGCAACACAGTTATGCATATACAAATCTAATCTAGTATACATCGTATGTCATGCTCTTTACAAAAGAATTAAATCATGCTTAAACAAACGGCATACTACATATACCACATAAGCACATAAACATGTTATCAAACCAAAACATGTTATCATAAAGCATATAAGCACATAGAGCATGGCAACAAAAGCATCATATGCACCCAAAACCCGTCATCCTAAGGTTTTCGAACCTAGGAGCTCTGATACCACTTGTGACGGCCCAAGTTTTTCAACTCGGTGCGTCAGTGATGAACCGAAAGATGACCCAATAACGGATCCGAAATGCGGAAGAAAAAGACAAAAAAAATGGTCTCTAGAGATACAACATGGCTCTAAGACACCATTATGACCCTCAACGAGGTCACGGAACCCAAAGGAATCAAATGGGGAAGCAATGTTTCAAAAACAAACAAAATTGAACCTAGGGGTAAAATCATCATTTCCAGCTTGAAAGTGGATGCCACCGAGCACACCATTGGAAAGACAATGAAAAATCAATGAACTTAGACTCAAAAATCGCATGATTCGGAGTCCGGATGAAGAAGATATGGCTGACGGAAGAAGAAGAGGCAAAACGGTCAAAAAGTGCCAACCAAAGATCATCTAACCGGTTAGATGGCCTTCCTCACCGGTTAGGAGGCCAAAATTCATGAAAAAAACACTGCCCATGCACATGTAACCGGTTACCAAACTCCTCGTAACCGTTTACATGTGAAGAGGGCAGTAAGGTGCAACCCAAAAACCTGGCAGCAGGGGTTTTTCGGGAAAAAATAGAAATTTGAGGGCCTAGATGACATTTTCTGGAAAAACTCTAAGAAGAAACCCATCTCAAAATTGAGTTTCCTACGTGAATCACAAGTAAAATTGAAAAATAAGCAATGTAAAATGCCCAAAATGCCCTCCCAAGAAAATTGGTCCAGAGGGTCCAAAAAGCTGCTAAATTTAAAAACTGAGAGCTGAATTTCGGATGCGATTTCCGATACCAAGATGGCATTTTCTGGAAAAACACGAAGAAGAAACCCCCCCCAAAATCACATTTTTTAAGTGACCATGTGAAGAACGGAATTTATTCCCCAAAGAAAATTTCCAAAATACCCTTAGGT